CCCCAAAACCCCAAAACCCCAAAACCCCAAAACCCCAAAACCCCTTTCCTTTAAGATATGTTGAAACTTAGTTTACATTAAATCAAGTCCTGCTAATAATCCCTGTTTTTCCTTCCTTTCTTCTTTTTACCCTTCCTTCCCTTCTTATCCTTCATGAACATTTCTCTGTCTAAAAGCTAGTCATTATAGAAATTACCGATCTCGTCTTCTTTAAAAATTAGGTAGTCTGCTTCATTCAGTTTTGGCTGGCCTTCCATCTTCCTTTTGGTATTTTCGACATGCCACTCAGACTTGAAATGTTCCTTAAACTCCTTGTTGTTTTTGAACTGTACATCAAGACAGGTTGAACACGAGAACTTGCCTTTCTTAGGCTCAGCTATTTTGTCCTCTTCAAAATTAGAAGAGACAATGAAGGTTTGTGTTGAGTTAGCCTCGTCTTCTCGCTTCTTCTGAGCCTCTTCATAAACTTTCTTGGCTTCTTCTTCCTCACTGGCTGAGAGAAGTCTAGAGTAAACGTAGTGTTCCACAATTTCAAAGGAGACATCATCATCTTTATTGCAAAAATTGGTGACATCTCTGATTAGCCAAGGCATAATGAGGTATGTGAGTTCTGTCTTGTTCTCCTCCTGAAGAAGATAGAGGTTCCCTTCCTCCTCACTCTCTTGCTTATCATAAGTCTCAGTCATCCAGGATTTTACTACAGACACCTTCTCTTCGTTAGTACAGGAGAACTTGATTTTCATCTTGGCACGTTCAAGTGGAAGGACAGCTGGGAGCTCCTTTATCAGAGCTAAAGCTTGCTTCTTTGCATTATGGCCTTCTTTAACATGGAACTTGATGTCATCCATGGCTTTCAGGACAATAGGTACAGGGAAAGGTACGGAATTCTCCTTGTTAACACACATTCTACTGACAATATTGGCTATACTCAATTTCAAGCTCTCGAATTCAGATTCTCTCTCAAGCTCACTGATCTGGAGTTCACCCTTAGTCAGGATAATCTTGATTGCCTCGTCCTCACCTGCTTTGAGGTACTTCTTGACTGTCTTTTTATTAGCAACTTCTCCTTTACTAACATTCGTGAAGATTTGGTAGATCTGCAAGACTTCATTGAGGTCCTCTTCTACACCATCTCTATAGTCCTGCACTTTATTCTTGTATCAAGCAACTTCGAACCGCTGGCCCATAATTTTGTACCGTACAATAGCCACATTGGTCAGTCTCACTTGGTTCACCGGGGTTTGGATCATTTTTGTTAATTATATTATTTTAAGGTCAAAATTTCAAGGCCAAAATTAGCCATTGGGGTTTTGGGGTTTTGGGGTTTTGGGGTTTTGGGGTTTTGGGG